TGAACGGTTGGTTACCTCCTGGCGCTTATTTGATCACGAGCAATATACGACGGTCATGAGTGAAATCAATGCCTTAGAAACAGATTTAGGCTGCCACATAGTCTCGTAAACTCGCTCAATTTTACCCTGCACACACAGAGGTGTTGATGGATTTTTCAGTTAACCGATATCGAGGATAAACAGGATTGCAAAAGTCAATTCTAGGTTCTGTTATTTTCTGATTGCTTCAATAGGGGAAAATTGGAAATTAAAGGCACCATCTGACAACCTCCTGTAGGCGCTGCGCGGGTGACCGCCGTCACATAACCTCAAATCACCGCAACCAATCAACGTTGTGAGATAATTCTCTTCCTATGCTCCACTCAACTGAAGGCAACCCATTGCAATATCGCGCTTATTGTTTTGCCGGGTGCTTTTGGAATGTCTGCGTACACACCGGTGCTTTCATTCCGCAGATAATTCTCCGAAGTTTATCGCTATGGTAGTTTTGCGAGGTATTCAGCATGAACCCCAAAAATGGGAAAGGAATTCTCGGACTTTCAACTGAATATTGCCTTTTGGAAAAGGAAAAAAACTATGCCCCCCCCCCCCCGAATAACCTCTCATCATCTTCTCAAATTTCGAAAAATGTTGAGCTTTCTGGAACGCGTACTTTTCGAGATTTTTCGAAATCAATCCTTGCACATTTTGCCTTCTAAAACTTTCGCACCTCCTTATATAGATTGCCTGACATGGAGCCGATACTGTTGAGATAATATAGTCTATTATTCCAGTGTGTTTGGCCATAAATTGGACTATAGTTTGCAGTTAGGAGGTAAAATTTCAGGCTCATCTTAGAAACAACATGTGTTCCATCAGTTTCCTTACGTAGATAGGTGTTTTTATCTATGAACCAGAAATTTTAGTTCCTTATTGCAAAATACAGTCCAATTTTTTGTTGCTCGGACGAGAGAACCATAATCCAATAAGGTAAAATCGACTCGAACGATTCGATTACCGCAGAAATGCGACTATGCGACCTATGATCACAATTTTAACGATACTTGCATGGAACCAGGAGACAAATACGATAACTCTCGAGTTAAAAATGTCCATTAGTTTGCCGGTAAAAAATTTGAGTTACGGGTGAGCATTTCGCAACTTTGAAACGCGATTCCGCTCTTTCGTCTGAAAAGCGACGAATTTGGAGAGCCACTGACCTGAGAGGCTTACAACAATGGCGTAAACGTGCGGAAAAGCGAGGCTGAAACGGCATCGCTGAACCCAGGCGACGATAGTGAGTTGATGGTGATGAAAATTTGAAACTGGGACATTAACTTGCTGCAATGGGGCGACGCACAGTGGATGGAGTCGATAGGAGAGGTCGAACAAAATTTGGAGACTTAAAACGCTTATAACTCCGTTTATACAAAATTGTGAGGTTCTAAAAATGGCTCCATTGGTTTTCTCGTAAAAATTTCTTCCAGAAACACCTCTTGAAATTTAAAATGTGACGAAATAAAAATCAAAATTTGCAGTTGTAGTCAAAAATTTCATGTCCGACCTCTCTAATTGACTCGGCCCACTGTGCGACGAGCGATGAAGCAATCGAGGCGAGAAATCGCGTTTTGACAACGCCACAGACAGTAACGACCAGCAGTGATCTGTTGGGCTCGTCGGATATCTCTCTTTCCTTTTCCAATATGCTAGCGCATTCACCACCCCCTCTCCATCCCCTCTCCACCCCTTAGAGCCCGCGACACGAAAAAGAGGAGTCTGAACATCTGCAATTGACGTCATCGCGATAATGCGCGTTACAAATTGACATGATTAGTGAGATTTCGGATGCATGATCTAACGTGAACAACACCGGTGGGACGGAGTGAAACGATTTAATCTGTTAGCTTAACATAATGAATTGAATGATGAGAGGAAGTTGTGCTGATTCTTAAATGTTCCGTCGCGATTTCCTTCTTTCAGCAATTTTGTGGAATAACGAAACGTCGGGGGTTTAAATGAGAAAAACCGAACAGAAACTTGCGATACCACCGCTGTTTGAAAAGAATATTTTCACCATTTTCCTGAATGAAATCGTTTCGTCGTGATGTAAATTGCAGGTATACGGCGGTTAAAACTAAAGACGGCTGTGTTATCTCATAAGACGCCATAAGCTTCAGGCCAATAGGCGTTCTTTTAAAACGTCCACTTACAGGCCCTAACGTCAGTCGAAAATAAAGTTTTGATACTATGAAAGCGCGGAGACACGTTTCTCGCCAAAGATTACTGCAGAAATGCTAATTTTCAAAGCAATCATTAGATCTTGCAACAGCCCTGATGGGAAATATCGACAGTTGCGCAGTGCAAGGTGTCTACTGTAACAGGCTAGCCAAAAATCAGTACTTTTACAGTACTTTTTCAGTACATTCTCAAGAATTTCAGTACCTCTTCAATAGAAAAATTCAGTACTTTTTCAGTACCTCCGATTGACGTTTGAAAAATTTCAAATATTTGAATTTCTTGCTCAAATTAGGTCAAAAGTGACAAAAAATTCCAGACCTTCTTGCGGAATTTCTGCACTTTTTCAGTACTTCCGGACCGGCCTAAAAAAAATCAGTACTTTTTTTGGACTATCCGGAAATTTCGGACTTGTAGACACCATGGCACATGAGTTTCGCTCATCTTTAGCAACGTATAAAATCGCATACTTAATGAATTCACTTTTTTCCCCAGTCATATGAAAACCAGAGAGAGCATGCATAAGAGCATAGTAAACATATTCCATAAGTGTAAAGCTAAGGCGTTTGTCTCAGAGGCAAGGTCCCAGTTTGGCCATCATACCTTCGCCCTTCAAGCGATGAATAGCCGATAACTAGTCAGACTCAGACCGGGCCTTTGTGTCGAACACCACACCGCGCCGCGTCGGTTGCGAATTTACGAGCGTAGACCGGTCAGCAGGGGGAGAGGGAGCTAATTGCAATCACATCCGCGCACTGCAGACTGCAGTTGGATGAACTAATTACAGTCCAATCAGTGCTCCCTTCCTCGTCCGTCGACAACGTTTAACTCACTTCGGTCATTGACGTGAACAATGACGCATATTGAAGAAGAATGTCGTATGAGCGTTCAAATGTTGTCAACATTTTTCGAGTAAGAGCCCTCTTTTTCAGAAAAATTTACAAAAAAATTCCTTGAATTTTCAAAAAATATTTTACACTAAATTTTGGAAAAACTTGCCACGTGTTTTCTTTTCAACATCCTACCTGAAAAGAAAAAAAACTCATTCGACGAGGAAAAGAAGAAAAGAAGGAATAAGAAAAATGGAACAAATATAATACGGAGGAAGAAGAGGAATAACAGTAGTAAAAGGAAATATCTGGGAGAAATTTATTAAATAAAAGAAATGCGAGCAATTTTAGCACCGCCACGGTTGGCACCCAGATACTAAGAGAGACCCTCCAAAAGCCTCTTGGTGACAGGTGGAACCTTTTACTTTCGGTGATTCAACACTTACTCGTGGACAATTAAAAGAAGGCAACAGTTATCAATATTTTTTCGGCTGTTGACCCACCTGCAAGGTGCAGCATGAGCTTCGGGTAACGAGGTCAATCAATGAAGTTTGCCAAACTTCGGTTTGTTTGTGAAAAAAATACTCACCATGTTGTTCAACATCCACCTAAGAGTAAATCGACAGCTGCAGGTTGGAACCTTGAAAGCAAAAGCTTCCTCCATTGCCTAGATAGCAATGGATGGCCTCCTTTTATCCCTGTTGTCACCCCACGCGAAAGGGATAATTTTGTCACCCCTAGCTGAAGAATACGAATAAATACTCATTTCTGGTGAAAGTGATAATCGTTTACTTTACAACAAGGGATTAAGAAAATTATGCAAATTACAAGGGGGGCAGGTGAAACAAACTTTCTTTGGCTGAACTCACAACTTTTCCTTCTCTTTTTGACTGATACGGTTTTCTCTACCCAAACCATAGCAACCCCCACAACCGCACCCAGCCCGTCCCAGCTGATGACTTTTTTGGCGGGAACATGAGCAACCGTTGGCATTCCTTTGGCGGGAATCAGCAAAGTTTAGAATTAGAGGATGGGCGGCAAATTGGAAGCTGCAATATTTACAAATATTTAGGAGTGTTTCTAACCCAGGATGGAAGATTGGACCAGGCCATCAAGAAGAGGAATATGCAGGGCAGGAGGGCAATCGCTATGTTAAATGGAGTCCTTTGGGACCAAAGGATTTCCAAAGAGAACAAAAGAAGGATCTACAACGCGATTGTCAAGAGCATAGTAACCTACGGGTGTGAAGTATGGCCGATGAAACAGCGGACCCGGGAGGTTTAAGAGGCAACAGAGATGGACTTCTGGCGTAGATCCGCTGGTATTTCCAGAAAGGATCGCGTCAGGAATGAGACGGTACGGGAGATCATGGATGCCAAGCAGACCATCGTGAATGACATTATGACAAAACAACTCATTTGGTATGGTCATGTCCAGAGAATGGCAGGAGGCAGGTTGTCGAAGAAGGTCCTTGATTGGGCCCTCGGGAGAAGACGCAGAGGGCGCCCAATGAAAGGTTGGAGGGAGGGGATTGTAGCGGAAATGTTAGGGTGCTCAATGCCCCAAGATGTGTAGTTCGAAAGAGAGCAGTGAAGTTTAGGAGTCGTAGAGCGCGAGGGAGTGCTGTAAAGCGACATGTGTATGTACATGAACAACGATCATATCGACGGTGTAAGTCGGCAATCACATAACTCGGTTTGCGACGTCGCAGACTTCCTGCCATACTTTATTTTTTACACCGAAAACTACTCAACGGCAATTCTTCAAAACTGCCTTGATTTTCCTTCTCTTTGCGAAGAAAATTCTGCAAAAACTTCAAGGAATGGTGTCAATTTGTTCTCCTTTAAACAAATAACATTGCGGCGGAGATTTTCAGACACCGCAAACGAGTTATGTGATTGCCGACTTACACCGTCGATATGTACTTGGGGCGTAAAGATCTGAGAGGTTACTCACCAAGGACGATGAGGGTGGCCGGCTTGCCCTTGAGCCCGTCCGAGTCCTGGCACTGCCAGACGCCGTTGTCCTCGAGGTGGACGTTGCTGATGGTGAGCATGTTGAGGCGCGGCTCGCGGGAGTAGCGGTTGTGGGCGGCGCCGATTGGGACGCCGTCGTGGAGCCACTGGATGGAGTCGTTGCCGACCAGGTCGCACAGGAGTCGCGCCTCCTCGTGCTGCTGCACCGTGTACTCGTTGATCGCCGCCTCGTTCCCGCCCGAGTTCCCGCTCGCCGCCCCTCCACCGCCGGAACTACCCCCGTGCTGACGGTGACGAAGGCTCGTCGATTTCGGGCCGCCTGAAACACAAGGGAAAATACTCACGTTGAGTCTAAAAAGAAAGATCACCATGATAAAAACAACAGAAAACGGAATAGTATTCAAACAAACAAAAATAATAATCAAATTTATTTATATAAGAACACAACTATTATTTAAAGTAAGTCAGCTTAATCTAAAGACCGTAATTTTAATTATATTTACTCCGATAATTGATTATATTTGTTTAAATAGCTTATATTTAAAAATCCTCGAGGAGGATCCGCGAGGTTCATTCTAGTAGCGTGGCGTGTTTTGCGATACATCGATTGATCTGTCATTTAAACCTATGGAAAAGGATCGAGAAACAGGGTGTCCGCAACGAACACCTTAATAATCGATTTTTTATCACAGCTTCAAACAGGGAAACATCGATAATCGATAATTCACGCCTCGCCACTGGTTCATTCAACAATGAAAGAAGGTGTCGCAGGCAAGTAGTCAAATCAGGCATCCTTACTGCGATTGAAATTCTGATTCTCCTGCTGATGTTAGACAAAATAATTATTTGATCGTGTAAGAAAGATATCTCTGTAAAAATGTGTGGCATAGAATGGTATTTTAAACGATTTTTAGCTTCTGAACGAACGTTTATGTTGAAATTTACAGCATGCCGCCGCATAAAACAAAATTTTCATAAAATTTTCCTGATTAAATTCGCATGAAGAGCGTTTCCAGAGGAAGAGACAAAGAGATTCCGAAGATTTAAAGAATCATTTTTTCTACGATATTGAAAACTCGTGAGCTTCTCGTCAATAATATAAACAAATTCGTACACTGACACAATTTGACAATCCGCTAAGGCATATGATAGAAGTCTGGCAGGTCTTCAATGGTCGTAGCATATCTTGTCGCCTTAAAGGTTTTTGTTTATTCGGGAAATCGGAATAGTTTATGCATGGATTGCATATCGACAGTCACAGTACGGTCGCCGGTCGGAGCCGAACGCATATGAGTGCCTGCAAGAGTGTAGGAATACTTCACGCATTGTGCCTAACGCACAGCACGATCGCCGGTTCGCGTAGCGCCTACAAGAGTCCACGAATGCTTCCCGCATTGCGCCTAACACCATGTGGTCGCTGGTCGGCGTGAAACGCATATCGACGGTGTAAGTCGGCTATCACATAACATAACTCGGTCGCGCGACGTCGCAGACTTCCTTTCATACTTTATTTTTTAAGCGGAAAGCTACTCGACGGCAATTCTTTAAAATTTGTGGTGATTTTTCTTCTCTGTGCGAAGAACATTCTACGAAAACGTCAAGGAATGATGTCAATTTGTTCTCCTTTGAAAAAAATAGCATAGAGGTGGAGATTTTCAGACACCGCAAATCAGATACGTGATTGCGGACTTACGCCGTGCCGTCAATTTGACAGAAACAATCTGTCTCGGTTGCCTCAGTGATGTGATTCTGATTTATGAGATTCTGGATACTCTCAGTGAACAATTTTCTACTCTTACATAAGTGATATGAGTTTAGTTTTTTTATGATAAATATTTCTCTCTCGTGGCACGCTAGCACTTCCTCAAAAATTTTATTGCGCTCTCATAAAAATAAGGATTAAAAACTTGCCGGGAGCTATTTAATTTCAAAGATGAAACAAAAGACGGGATTCATAAATTCCTCTTTAAATAGTAGATAAAAGTATTGGACTCCGAAATGAAAAACTGCGACTATTCTTCAGTTTTAAACTGCACCTGAATATCTTATTTAAAACCTTTACACTTGAGTGAACTCAGTCTGAACTAATCTTACTCCTCTTTTGTTTTGTAAAATCCTTTTATTTAATTTTGCATGCTTGCCTCTAAGGATATCGTCTCCTTTTCTCCTTTCCATCCATTCTATTTCACATAAAATCTTATACCTTAGGCTTGATAAATAATCTATTTACAAACAGCCCTCCTCCATATAAATTATAGCAAAGCGAGAAATCTTCCCATTTTAGTGGTAATAGGAAACCTAGGCATAATTACCACTATAAAATGACTTTGAAATAATATTCTTGAACTTTAGTAATAATTTTTGATGGAAACACTTAGTATTCTAGGTTGCATTTTCAGGGCATGAAGAAAGTAGAATGTTCCACTTGAAGAACTTTTGTTTTTCTGTTAGGTTTTTATTTACATTTGATAGCAATTTTTGAAAAAAAAAATAAATAAAAAATTGAGTGTCAACAAAGTTGAAGATAAGCGAGACGTATTTGGGTCTCAATTTTTAACTTTTCTTTCGAATCTGAGCGCTACTGCATTGACAGCAAAGAGCGGAATATTGCGGTTTCACGCTTCGCGCCATCACAACTTCAATTTTGCAAATGCAACACGGACATCCGTCAAGCATGGCGCGTCCGTTGTGTCCCTGCGCCGTCATCAACGCACGGTGAGGTATGCAATAGTATTGGACAGTTTGATAAAATTTGTCGGAAATTTCCGTTAAAAAAATGAATAAAACCAAAACGGCAACGAAATTTCGTTAAAATCTAATCATCACTCCTCTGAACACGTAATATAAAATAAACAGCACATTAAAAGTACAACTTACATGCGACATTAAAAATAAAATTGTCTGCAAAAATCGTCTTCAAATTGAATGTGATGAAATTTAGAAAGCTTGTAAAAGTGTAAGGTGACATTTTACTTAAAACAAAAAAAAACAAAAAACAAAAAATAAAAAACAAAGAAATATAACACTCTTTTTAAAGAGTATTCTCCTCGAAATTTTTACTTTTTTTTACTTTTTAAAACAATCAAGCTGCTGGAGCTTACTAGTATGTTCTCAGTAATCGTAGATGATTTTTTAAGCCGAAAATCTGAATAGATTGCCCCCCCCCCTTCCAGATTATTTTATCCAACAAGGATCCGGGAAGACCCGGAGGTTCAGACTGCATTGACGCCAGAATGCGAAGCGAGGCCGGCCGTGTTTTAAATTCGAATCTTCGCATTCTGCGGTGTGTATGCCGGATTCCGTAACGCACGGGTCAAAACCACCAGCTCTTGGCATGGTGTGACAAACGGACGCAGAGCGACTTCAAAGGAAGACCCTTCTCGGAACCGGATTATTGTATCAAGAGTTCGTCGAGGTGAAAACTTTTCGAACGTGACTGAAGAGAGTTCGATGGGTCTGCGGTGTCCTTATTCCAGATCGATTTTTAATTATGAGAGACGAAATTTGCCCATACTTTTCCACAACTGCCAAATTTCGCATCATAATCTCCGATTTGATCTATGAACTGTAGTATTACTGTGATGGAAAAAAGTCATCTTATCATTTGAAAGGGAAATACGGAAGTTTCTGCGCAGAAAAGTCTTTTCACGAGTTTTTATCTCTTGAAGAACGATCCGAAAGATCCAATTACAAATAAAATACAATTTAGAGGATAACGTCTTACTGCTTGTATGGAGTCGTTAGAGTGTTACGTATTGGAAATGAAGGAGAGGGGGTCTCTGGTACCGCTTTCAACCATCAAGGCCTAGATACACGCGGCGATTATTCGCCGCGAGTGAAAGACGAAAGCCAATGGAGAGCCTTGATTTCGATCCATTGACGTCGATATGTCGAAATCAAGACTCTCCATTGGCTTCCATCTTTCACTCGCGGCGATTAATCGCCGTGTACAGAAAATTACAAAAAAGCGTTACGAAAGAGGAGAGTGAAATTCAAAATGAGCGCAGGTAATAAATGGACGCTGATTGGCTCCCGTATGTTAGACCTCCACAGCGTCAGAAATGGGAGTAAAGATTACATTTTCACCAATTGCAAAGAATATAAACTAGAATGAGTAGAATGGACCGTGGAATTAGGGGTGCGGCGGCTAGGAACAAACGGAATGAGAGAGGGAACGGAGACAGGAATTCGGGAACGAGTTGATCAAAGTTTACGAAAAACGTTCAATTTGTGTAATCTTTTTCCCCGTTTGTAACTCCATGAGCCGCGGTGTCTCATCTCTTCCTATAAAGGGACTCTGATTGGATGGTACTTTAAATTTTATTGTCAGAACTGTTTCAGCATTGAATTATATAATAATTTAAAGTCTTTCGTGCGAGCACTGACCGAATGTATATGACCTGATGTTTACGTCTGACATAAATATTTGTTGTTTTGTACCTAAATGTTTGTATCTTGCGGGTACTTCAGCGTCAAAATATTTGTATCGCACATTCTGTCCAGTTCCTGATTGCAAGAAGGCTTGAGACTTGACGGCCATTTTCGGAAAGACTTCGGAAACAGAGAAAAAATCAGTTCTCTTTCAATTATTTGCTTATGCAATTAAGGGTACTTCGGCGTCGAAATATTCGTATCGTGCATTCCGTACCGTCCGTAACCGCTTGGAGGCTTCAGACTTGACGGCCGATTACGGACGGAGCTCGAAAACAGAGAAAGATAAGTTCTCCTTCAATTCTTTACCTATGCAATTAAGGGTACTTCAGCGTTGAAATATTTGTATCGTACATTTCGTCCGGCTGGCAACCGTTGCGTTGGAAGGCTTTCACGGCCAATCACGAGCACAGCTCGGGAGCTGCGGAGGGAGGAGGAGGAGAGGAGGGAAAGAGGGGGGATGAGCGGGGCGCGAACTACAATTTTAACCTAATAAAAAGCGAATCACCGGCGAGGTGCGGAGGCGACTAAATCAGAACACGTACTCATATTAAATGTACATAAATTGCGAGGCAAGTGAAGGAGCCCCGGTTGTCACTCGGAAACTCTTTCCTTTGACGGAGGAGCTAATACGTTTTCCCTCCCGGCGCCCATCCCCCGCCCCCCGCCCTTCCAACGCTTCCTTTCGCGAGAAACAAAACAATGCCAAGCTATATTCAGTGCTCTTGGGCTCTGCTCTACACACGTGTGAATTTCCGATGCGTCAACGCTCCTGCCAGCTTGGGCTTCCTTCACTCTTCTATTTCTTGAGTTCGCGTAAGACCTATGTAGCAAACTCACGCAGAGCAAGGGGTCCATGTGCACCTTTTTACGATACTATCTAAAAGC